ATATATATATATATATATATATATATATATATATATATATATATATATATATATATTAACCATGTGTATGAACAGAACACATGGTTAATATATAATGGCTGGAATCATTACACAAATCCACCTGCAAAGTCCCATTCCCTGCAAAATCTACATAAAAGCCAAAGAAAACTTTGAGAGAGTGTCATCTTCATAAAATGTCAACAAATAGGGGAGAAAAAAACTGGAGAAAAAAGCTTAGATCTGAGCAGCATTAGCCAAAAGCAGGTAAAGAAGTTCAAACAGTAGATAACCAAGAAATGTGGCAGGCAATACAGCAAGACAGTTCCTATTTGCGGGCACACTGTAGCCCCGCCTTCTTGGGCATGGCACACTGATGAGAATGACTCACTCAGACGAGGCTGAGAAAGTCCAAATCCCATCAAACCAGATCATGTTGATACTGCACCCCGGCATTCAGTGCATGTGAAAATGTGGCTTCAGTGTCTGTATGTACATACATTCAGTAGTTTAATACAGTAAAATGTCAATTTTCAGGCCCATGCAGACTGTCGTAGGCAGACTTGCTGGCAAATTCATGCATTAGGCGTGCTGCTGCTTGGCAGGGTTAAACTCTGGCACACAGTGTGCTTAGGAACTCTCCAGAGTCCAAAGCTGGCATTTGTCTCATTAAAGGAACCTACATCAGAGTTGATGCCAATCCGCCATCCGGGATGGAGAAGGGTGTTACTTTTCCCCCCAACTAGCTTTCAACATAGTCCTTTTTGTACAATGTACCATACAGTAGAGGAAGGTTGCAGTCTATGTAAGTGTGTTAATCTCAGTCACGGTGTAACCTGCTCTCCTCTCCGCCCACGCCCGCATCCAGGGAGACGTGTGACCAGCTCGGTACCCAAGGCTCAATCCGCATTCGAGTTGCCCTCCCCAGGCCTGATCAGCCTGCGGGTTCTTCTGGACCTGACCTTCAGCTGTTCAGAACATGAAATTTCTTATGTCTGATCAGTTTTTTAACCAAGAGAAAATCTGACTAGAAACAAATGTGTCATGTGATCAGCAGTCGCGTCTGTATGTGGCCTGTCACACGCCCCATGACATGGGCCCCTGCCTTGCTATGTCTGGTCCTGGGCCCGTGGCCCTTTGTGGTGCAGAGAAAGCTGTTGGCCTCCGCTTTCATAAGGTGTGTCTGACCAATTGGGACACCAACAAATTCTGGACTGGAGCTGCTGCTCAGTTTCTATTTGCGGGCACACTGTAGCCCCACCTTCTTGGGCATGGCACCCCACTTCATTCCCCTAGTTAATCACCGCTGACAGGATGCAGGCGGGATGGGGTGGAGGGTATGCTAAATCAAAACCCGGTGGGCAGAATCATGCCCTGGCATCCAGGAGGTCTCAAGAGTGCCCCATGCAGCACCTACTGGAGAGGGCCTTCTTCCATCGGCTCATCATGCAGCCTGCAATGCAGAAGGCCAAAGGTCAAAGAAGGTGGTAGGTAGTGAGGGTTTGAGTGGGAGGAGTGAAGTCTGGCACCTGAGATGGGGCTGTACCTGCTGTCAGCCAGCGTGGGGGCCACCGACAGTGATGCCATCGCGATCACCGTGTCCACCTCATCTCTCTCACACCTTTGCACCTCCAACAGGGAGTTGCACGCCTTGGCTAGATGGCGTCGTGCTGACCGCCAGTACTTACCTAGGAGATGACATCATGGGATGGGGGTGGGGTCAAGGGTCAAAGGACAGCCCACAGAGCAGCGACATGGCTTGGACATGTCTGGTAGCTCTAACAACTCACTCTGGATTTCCAGAACTTTCTCAATGGAGTGCACCGCATTTGGGTTTGGTCTCTGCTGCAGGACTTCCTGTGGAAGGGGCTCCAGCTGAGGGGCAGAGGAGATTCACAGAGATCAAAGCACAGAAGGTGGCATTAAGGAGCAGTTAAGGTCTTGGCTGCACAATGGCTGAGCCACTGATAGCAGAACAGGTTCCAGCCCTGGTTTGGAAAGCACATTCTTCATCGCTGCTTTAGAAAAATCTGCCTGAAGGACAACATTTCCATTGTTTTTTAAAAGGAAAATCTTAAGCCATGCGAGTCCTGTTCTGGGGCTGTCGGAGAAGTAGTGCGCTCTCCACACTGTGGTCCAGCACAGTGCTCCAAAAGGACTGGGACTAAGGCCAGCACTGTAGTCATAGCAACATTTTACTATCTCACTTTACTGTGTTTTTTTCCCCCTGGAGTTAACTCTGTAAAGGTTTGTTTTTGGGGGGTGGGGGTAAGCCTTCACTTGTTCCTGTCCAGTATGGAGACGAGTACTAGTGAGGGCTGACTGAGAACCGTACCTGGTTCTCGGTTGTGATAAGCCAACAGTCCTGCTGAATGCTAACGGCCCCAAGGAGCAGGAGTGCTAATGCTGCTGTCAGCGCTGTCACAGGCTGGGGGGTGGGCATTTGCTAACCCTCAGCCTCCCAGCATCTATATCCCTCCCACGGTCTGCCTGCATGCCCCCCCTCACCATGAGCCCCAGTAGGGCAGAGATGCAGGCCTCGGAGGCATCACAGATGGCAGTGAGGTCATGGCCCCCCTCCAGGGCAAGCACCAGTCGGCCCCCTGCCAGCGCCATCAGCTGCATGGTTAGGTAGCCGAAGCCTGTCGCAAGAAACAGGAAGTCTGTGAGAGTGTGTGCGTGTGTTTGTGGGGGGGAGGGGGGTGGGGCGTTGGCGGGTTTGGTAAGTTCTGTGATTCGACTGTGCTGTCTGGATGCTGCTCAAAGGTAGCGTGGGGGGGGGGGGGGGGAAATGAAAATATGACATCATTCTCCCTTTAAAATCTGCAGCCTGAACACACAATATTAGCCAGCTTTCAGTTTCAGAAGCACAGCACAGTGCTTTAGCTCCAGTGTCCAGCAGAACCATCCCCCCCATCTCCAGCTGGCTGTATGGGGTGGCTGACACTGGACACTGTGGATACTAGGGGTGCAACGGTACAGGTATCCCACGGTACGGTATGTACCTCGGTATTTGGGCCACGGTTTCGGTTCGGTTTAAATACAACACTACAAATAACACAAGAAAACAAATAATAAACTTCCTCTTATTTATGTATAAAATATCTATACATGTATAAAATTCAAACTTACAAAATGTAAACAAAAACACTTTAAAAAATGTTAAAGTGCCTCTTAAAGTGCTCTAAATACTCTATATTCCACTCGAGGCTGTGTGCTTGAGCCAAATCGTTTTCGATGGCTTTGCGGGCTTTGTCATAGAGGTCGGGAATTATAACGTTGCTGAAATGTGTACGGCAGGGCACAACATAACGTGGGTCAAGCGTTTTAATTAAGTGGCAAAACCCCGCATCTTCGACAACAGAAAAGGGTTGCAAATCTTTAGCAATGAACGTTCCCACTGCACGGGTTATTTTCTTCTGTTTATCGGATGTTGCAGGGTATGTCTGTTGAAAAGCTTTTTCGATAGACACTTGTTTACCTGCAGTTACCTTTTCGTCTGTCCTCCATTCAGGAACCGTTATATCAGCATGACTACTCTTGAGATGCTTAGCCATATTGCTCGTGTTTCCATTAGCGTATGGGACACGTGTTAGGCAATGTTTACAAACAGTGACATTTCTATTAACTGTTTTGACTCCCTGGTCGTTGTATTCTACAGCGAACCCGAAAAAAATCCATACTGGACATTTGTACGAAGCCGGTGCTTCTTCAAACTTCTGCCTCTCAACTGTTCCGCTAGTGCTGGCCATACTTGTTTGTTTTTCTTTTTTTCTGCGTCTGCGTACCGAGCTGCGAGCTCAGCTCCAGTTACGTCAGTGTGAGAGGGCGAGTGGGTGGAGCCACAACAGTGATTGGACATTAACTCACGGTGGAGGGCTTTCGCTCATTGGCGCTTACTGTTTAACTGGAGCCTGATAAGCATTAATCGCCATTTTCAAAAGGAAGTGCAAAAACGAAATACCGCGGTACACAAGGGCGTACCGGACGGTCCAGTATTTTACCGAGTACCGTTGCATCCCTAGTGGATACGCTCTGCTAATGACATGGTAATTCTAGTCGCCTTTGGCATGGAGGGAGGCCTTACATCTGGCTGTCAGCTTGTACCCCCCCAGGGGGGGCAGATGTCCCTCTGCCGCGTCGAAGCCCGATGACACCAACACCATGTCAGGGGCGAACTCAGTAGCAATGGGCATCACCACAGTCCTGTTGGGAGAGAGAGAGAAAGCTTTCAGCCGTCCACCAATAAGCAGCCAGTTCGGAGGGGTGGAGGCAAATTGTTCACCAATCACGTGACAGGGACAGCATGAGCTCTTTGGTTAATAGTAATTTCTGCTTATTTGTGATTACAGTCACACCCCCACTGATCGACTTCAAGTCCACATATGAACTTAGTTTTGGTCTGAGGAGTAGCGGTCAGACAGGAAGGTACAGCAAGGGAGGTATAAAGTGCTGGGATGTCTTCAAGACCTCCACTGGCAGGGAGTGGTTCCCTATGAGTGGCACTGTGGCCATGTGCACTTCAGTGATCCTCACTGACTGTTTCACTGGATGGCTGCTGCAGATGAGATTTGAAGCTTTCATGTTGGTTTAAAAAAATCCCATAATGCCAGCAAGGTGCATGTTTTAAGGGAAATAAGGTCCAAGCTGTACATTATGTGGAAGAAGCATAGCAGCAGCAGCCAAGACTAGCAAGGCGTTAAATAGTGTGTCACAGGAAATTTCCCACGCAGGAAGACAGGGCTCATGCATGAGGAATCTGCCTGGATAGTTCCCATTGGAGGGCAGAGCAGCACCAACTCTAGAAAACAGAAGCCAGAAGAGGCTACCGGCCTGGTAGTAGCCCGTGGCTGGTTGATGTCATCTGTCTGAGCCCTGGTGAGCCCCATTCTTTGAGCCCCTCATATCTTGCCTCATATCATATCTCTGGGATTTCCTGGCAGGCTGTAAACAGGGACACGTGATCCCTAGAGGCTGTGCAGGTTGGAAAATGTACCTGGCCGTTTTTGGGTAAGTACTTTGTCATGAGCATGGGGGGCCCTAGTGATGTAACCCATACATATGCTGTGTGGGTGGAATGATGATCAAGGATGACTGGGATCAAGGAGCCGCTGCTTAACTCTTGTTTTACGTCACCTAGGTATGAGGGTAAGATATCCAGCTTCTGTAGATAGCTGAAGTGTAATTGTACAGCCTCTGCGTGAAAGGCGTGCTGAGTCTCTGCTGTGCTGCATTACCCCCTTCCCCGCCACTTTCCTAGGGAGACCCCGCCAGGCGTCTCTCTGCCCCAGGCCCAGTTCCCAAACCCGCCCTTTCCTCTGAGTCATTCCTGGCCAACTTGCTGCAGAGGTGTGTGGTGGACGGCAGGTCCTGGAGGCCCTTGCAGCGAGTTCATGCTGGCTCCACTGAAAGATGCGGCCAAAGTGGCCCACTTCCCCTCAGCTGTGTGTCCCTGACGAAAGCAGAATTTAGGAAAGCCTCAAGGTCCTGGTTACAGAGAGTGCTGGTTATGGAGGGCAGGGAAAGCGGACCGGCTCCCAGTGGTCGCCGCCTGGTGTTTCGGATCTGCTGGCGGGATGCGACCTGCCTGAATTTATATCTGCATTAATTTTGGCCTGCCCACCTGTCTGTCTAAGGATACAACAGCGCTGTCAGTCATTCCTCTGACCTCAGCTCAAGGAAACTGGTAACCAGCTTAACCACAGGCTGGACCCAGTAGGCTGCAATGTAGATATCATTAGCAGGCTGACAGGTGGGGCTCAGCTTTAGGCATAGAATCAGACATATGTGGCTCTGCATGTGTCTGGGCAGGCGGCACCAGTCCTATGCCCAGAAAGGGTTAACATGGGCTGCCTGACTGTAAGACTGTTCCTGATGTTCTCCTTGCAGAAAGATGGACTGGGCCAGAAGCACTTCAAAGCACCAGCATGTGGCAGGGCAGAGCTGCCTTCAATCTGGGCCTTGCTCCTCACTCCGGGTCCGTGTTCAGCGTGAGGCTCCGGGCTTCTGGGTTTCATTAGGGTCCATTCTCTTATCTCCCCCATATCCCCCCCACAAAGCCTCCCAAGGCCCATAACCTTGCTGTGAGTGATCACAGTGGCCAGGGGGTAGGGGGTGTGTGAAAGCTGCAGAGCCAATCACACTGGAGCGGAAGAGAACTTGCCTACATGGGTCTGGTGGTCAGTGGTTAGGCTGGCTACACAGGCAGCAGGTACAGCTCCACGTTTCAGCGCCACCAGCTGGCCTCAGGCCCTGCTCATGGGACACGTGATGGCACCCCTCCTAAAAGATAGAGGGTCGAATATCTCCTACTTCACCTCCAGGTTCTTTAGTCCAAAAAAGTGTTAACGAATCAAACCTTAACCACTAACCCTAACCCTCAGGCATAACCCTGATGTGCCCTTCTTAAAGACACCTCCTTCCGCCATCTCTGGGCATTGCTTCTGCTCAGGAGCGGGTCTACCTGTAAGAACTATGTGTACACTTTACCTGTGAAGATGTATTTTATTGAGACCAAAAACGTCACTGTACCTGAGTAATTTCTGCCTTTTGTTTGGCATTTTTTAAACTGGGGAATAGAGCCTTGTCATGGTCTCGCCACAGTGATATGAAGGCAACTTTGGGACACATTGAGCACTTGCCTTCCCCACCATATGCCTCTCTGTCAGTGGCTATGCTTTAATCCATTGGGGGGGACTTTGTGATGCTGGTTCTGGGCCCACATGGCTTCGCTTACTAGGGTGGGGGTGATGCAGGGGGAACAGCAGCACTGTCAATCCTGTCAGTCTTCAAAGTGCCTGTGGGGAACCGTCACGAATTGGGGGGGGGAGGGGGGGGTCACACAGACATTGGGGTAATATGGTTCAGTCCTGCTGGCAGGTCTTTAAGGCCCCCCCCACCAAAAGTGGGGTGGATCCGGTATAGGTACCAGATGAAAGTAGAGGGCGGGCAAGTGAGTGAGTGGGAGGTGCAGGGGAGCCTGCAAAATTGTTCCAAGACACTTGCTGTTTTGAAACATGTGGCAGCACATTCAGATCCCTAAGAAATATGTGAGTGAAGGGATTACATATACAGCTGGATGGGGCCTTTCAGCATGGCGGCACGCTCTAAAACAAAAATGTGGACTTTGGGGCTGGTGACTTGCTCTGAAACCTGTCATGTCAGAGACCTACCCACAAAGCCTCTGTGCTGCCCTCACCTGAATGCTGCTAGGTACTCCACATCTCCCATGGGGGGCTCCAGACCACCAGTGAAGGCCATGTTGACATTGAAGCCCTCTCCTGGTCCACTGCCCACCTGTAGGGGGTGGCAGTGGGTTAGTGTTGCAGGTGGTAATTGTGTGAGACTTGCTCGTGGAGATGCCTTTCCTGCCTCACTGACCTCATCAGGAGCTCCGCTCCCAGGAAAGAAGTTCCCATCATCATAGCGATGGAGGGAGATGTACAAAACGTTGGGATCATCATAGAATGCCTGCTGGGTTCCATTACCATGGTGAACATCCTGAAAGAGGTGACCGAGGCAGGGTTGGGTTTGGGTCACATAACAGCCCCCACCATGTTGCTGGTTAACCTAAGGAGGGGCTAAAAGCATGACTTAGGGTGCTTTTCCACTACTCCAGGTACCATATGTTTGATACTTCAAGAAAGTACCAAAAGTACGGTACTTCAAGCTGTTGGTTTTCCACTATCGTAAAGACTGGTATTGGCGCCGAATGGCATCACAACGGGAGGCGGGGTATTTTGTAATGAATTGGCTGTATTATATTAATACAAAAATTGCATGTAATGCACATGCAATTCTTATATTGCTATCCAGCTAAATTAAGATCAGGCTTTTTCTTACTTTCAATTCTGTATATGGACATTATAGCGCAGGTGGTTAAAGTTTTGCTTCATTATTTTTACTCTGTTACTCTGTCATAAGAAAAAAAAAAACTCTGCAAGCTTCGAAATTTTATTTATTCCTTTTATAGAATATATGTTTAAAATTCAATTTAAAGTTTACCTCCGCTGCTTTTGCATGAGTGCTGCATGCATTCTCGGAGAAAATTATAATTATTTTCTTCCTTGATGGTTCAATCACTCAAAGACGGGTTTGTGAGAAATTTCTGAACAACTTCTTGCTTTATAAATACGCCAATATTTTTACAAGAAAATCACATGGCTAGCTACAGTATATGCATGCTGTTGTAGTATATTAAACAAAACACTTTTAAAATTTCTTGTCATACCATCCTGATCTTTTTGTTGTATCTGTTCTTCCGACCAGATCGCAATTTTTTTTTTTTTAACTTTGTTTATCGTTTCCTGATTTTGCAACTGTTTTCAAGGTGGCGTCGGTATTGTGTTTCAGAGGTAAGCTGTTTGCATAACCAACAGACAAAGAAAGCATTTCAAATCCCACCCCAAAGTACTGAAGTACAAAATAATTACCCCAGCTGGTTTGGAACTTTTGGTAATGGTACTCGACCAGAAGTCAATGGAAAAGCGCCCTTATACTGCAAAATTGAGGGTTGCCGGGAACATTTACAAATGCTATGAAGGGGAAGCATGTCCCCTTCCTAGAGGTCAATGCAGAAAAGCTCTCTGACTGATGTCAGGACATGGGAGCCAGGGGCCCACATAGGTACAGGTGTGGTGGTGCCATGGCAGTCAGGGACAGACTCTGATCAGGGAAGGAGAGGAACCCACCCAATCGACGATGAGGATCCGACCGATATTAAGCCTCAGCTTCAGGAGACGGGCTGCGATGGCCACGGAGTTAAAGTAGCAGAAGCCCCTGTGGGACACAGGGAAATAGAGAAGGGTGGGGGTTGATGGGAGGGACATAGCGGGACAGAGAGGGGCATGGAAGGCAGGGGGGATGGGGGGCAGAGGAGGGATGGTAAACGAAAGATGGGGGGAGAAGCGATCAGTGCCAGGGGATGGTGGAGTCAGTACGAGGGGGTGGGGGGCTGGGGCCTCATGGAGCAGACCTACATAGGCGTGCTGTCCTCTGCGTGGTGTCCTGGGGGGCGCACTACTGCAAAGCCGTTCTGTAAACAGGAAGAGCAGACGTTAATATCCCAGCTCCAGCTAACAGGCCATTTAACACTGTAACAGACCTGGAACAGAACTGGGACTGGAACTGACTTTAAGCTCTCCGGTCGCCACCTTGAAGGCAAGCTCAGTGACGGACCCCACAGCTAACCGGGTGGCGCTGGATGAGTGGACCTCGTTCCAGAAAGTGTCATTGTCTACCTGTAACACACATATTTATACAGAGCCTTAAAGTCATAATAAAGGAAAGCCTCATTGCATGCTGGGAGAGACTGAGGGATGCGGTTTGGCAAAGGTCGGAGGAGCATGTTGGGCTCAGGAAACCCAGGCCAAGAGGTGGGAGGGGGCAGAAGCTAAGAACAGCACTTTCACACGGCTGGGATATAGAGTGTCCTGGGGGGTGGGCTGTGATCATTCAACCCCCCCCTACAAGCCACATGCTAATCTGCCATGCACACACTCATTCTCAAATCCCCCCTGGGCGCAGGGCACACAGAGTGACCAGTGCTGGTTCCCCCCAACCCCCTCACAGAGTCTGGCTCCCCCTGATAACATACAGGCACTTCATGGGAAACATCTGGACACTATTACTGAATTGGAGCAAAGTGGGAGGGAGAGAACCTGAATAAAGCTCACTCACCCCGACACCGCCACAGGGCAGCCTCATGAAGACAGGGGGTGCCAAACCTGGGGGGACAAGCAGGCAGACAGTTAAAACCCCTGGGTGTTAGGACAGGTGAGCCCCCCCCCCACCACCCCCACCAAACACGGCCTTATGACCTGGCAGCTTTATTACAGCTGGGCTGTTATCAGGTCTCGGGGGGGGGGGCACGGCAGAGCAGGCCAATTAGGCTTCAGCATGGGAAAATGCCATGTAGTCCTGTGTGTGTGTGTGAGGGGGTGGTTTACAATGATGGCTCTGCGTTTGTTAGTTTCTCTGAAAGGTGGTGGGGGGGCTTGCTGTTAGAGTGGTGCCCATCACCTGCAGGGGGCAATGTGGAGGAAGGGGTCAGGAGCCCTCCCCTGAGCAGCCTTGATGTAACACCATTTAAACTCTCCATTAAACTTTACAGTGTATGAATGGAAAGGCTCTCTGGGATCCAGAGGAATCCTGGCTGGCTGTGAGGGTTACGCTGCCCCTGTGTGTAGGGTGTTTGCTTGGTGCTATGCTCCCCCCCGCCCCCCCCAGCAAAAGGTGCAGTGTTTAAGGAACTGGGTCCATCACTGTGGTGGGGTGAAGACAGGCGGCTGCTTACCGTCCAGCTTGTGTCTTAGTGGGTTGGTGCCGTACAGCAGCGTGTGCGCCTCTGAGTGTACTGTCTGCAGCTCTACCAGGCTGGCCTTTTTCCCCCGCACGTGCTAGATGGGGGGGTGGGGGGTGGGTCGGCACATCAGGCCATGTAGGATCAGATCACTTATACACTACTCAATAAGCCTATCTCAGAGAGGGGTTCTGCTGGACCCTAGGCCATGGTAAATGCACTTGTTTCCTGGAACAGATCTTGAGCCTGGTGGCTTGAACACAAAGTTACACCCATGGCAAGATTCCGGTTCCCTGCAAGCAGCCTGTAGCAACGATGCGGGGAGGAACAAAAGTGGGGGGTAGGGGGGCTATGAACAGGAGCCCACTATGAAATACCGCATCTCCTCTACCCCCATCATCGATTATTTTCAAACCAGCACCACATGAACCCCTTCATCTGGGACACAGGCTTTTGGTGAATGAGCAGAGATGGTGCTCGAATGGTATGGCAGCACCCTCTGCAGGACATAATAAAATCTCCCCCATTTGGCCAGCAAAGGCAGGAAAAAGTGTGCTAACCATGTTTTCTTGTGGAAATTATTTCTGGAAACACTGTGAAAAGCACACAGCCTATTGGAACACACCGGAACAAGGTGGCATCCAACAGAAACAAAGGAAACATGCCTGAGATCCTTGTAAATATGCAGCGTGTGCTGCTGGGTCATTCAGAGAGAGAAGATGCCGGAAGTGGCCCTGTTGTGGCTCCTGGCCGTACCTCACATTTGGCACGGAGTCCGGTCTCCTGCAGCCGGGACCAGATGCTCTGAATGCGCCCTGCGTGCTCGGGGTGATTACTGGTGCTATTGCAGACACACTGGTGTTTGAGCATCAACGTGTCATACACCAGCCCTGCGGGGAAGCACACACACACACAGGGGCAGTTATGGAGTGGTCACACACAGTGCTGCCACTAGGGGGCAGCATCAAAACAGGGCCAGCATACCCTCAACAGACAGTCAGAAAAGTCTCCTTTAAACAAAGATGTGATGGCAAACACAGAGAGTGCTTTGCAGGAACCACAAAAACAACACAAGCGAATGCATGGGAATCACCTCGAGCGATGAGCATGCAATGAGAAGATTCAAACAAACGTAATAGAAGTTTACTGTGAAGGTTTTTTGAGCAGTCTGGGGCAAATGGCTTCGTGTTGGGGTTGGGGGTAGCTGCACTCTCCCCATGGGTGGTGGGGTGGGGCTCAGTAGTAAGAAGCACACTATACCCCTGCTTTACTCCATCCATTTTCTGTACCTGCTTATCTAATTCAGTGTCATGGAGGGCCCGGAGCTTATGCTGTAGGCTATGGGCGCAAGGCAGGGAACAACCCAGGACGGGGTGCCAACCCATTGCAGGGCACACTGACACAACATTCTTTCACTCACACACACCTAGGAGAAATTCTGTAATATTTTTGGACTGTAGGGGGAAAGCAGAGCACTCAGAGAAAACCTCACGACGACACGGGGAGAACATGCAAACTCCAGACACAGAGTGGCAGAAACTGAAACCCTGGTTCCAGAGGTGTGCGGCCTCAGTGCTAACTACTGTGCCACTGTAGCCCCCTGTCTGCTTTACGCTTCGATTATGACTATGATTATGATTGCGATTATGGTTATTATTATTGTGGTTATTGTTAGAGGGTTTGTTAACCCACTGGGCTGTTCTGGGGAGGCAGGGTAAAAGGTTAAGGGCTCACCTGTGGTGAAGCGCAGTGTGGGCGGTTTCTCGGTCATAGGCACGGGGAGGGAGGCGGGGGCGGAAGCGGGTGAAGACTGAGCCCGGGACAGGGGGCGGTGAGAGCCCAGCATGGCTGGCAGGCTGGCTGCCTCCATGCCGGCTTGGTAACTACGCAGCTGTGCTATCCTCTGCTGCTCCAGGAGCAGGGCCTGCTGCTCGGGGGGAGGGCACAGAGAGGAGGAACGGCATCATACACTGCCCCCCCTCACACCAGCATTCACACACACTCAAGCTGTGGGACACTCCAGCACAGATCACAGATAAAAGTGACAGATAAAAGCGACCATCTCATGACCATCTCAATCATACAAACCAATTCACATGTTTCGGAAGGTTAAACAAACACAAACACAGGCAGATACATAGATACACACACACAGGCACACTGACATGCACAGAGAAAGTCAGAGAGACATACACACCCACACACCAAAAGACCGAGGCAGATTCTCACACAGTCAAACACACGCAGTCACAAGCAAAGTGACACACACACACACACACACACACACACAAGGCCAGTTTAAACTTGACGCTTACAACGCGGTTGCTTACATATCATGATCTCCACACGGTTTCTGCATTCATTCCACGTGTCGTTCGCGTACCTACACAAGGAATTAATGCTACATGTATGCAAGATGCAGTACGACCAACAATCTTGGGGGCAGTGTAGTCACCTTTTGTCACGGGACTATGTGTTAAATATGGTACAGTTATTATTAAAGTCGCATCTGATTTTTGTATGAATGCGTTGCTGGAAGATATTCAAAACATGAAATATTTTCAGAGGCAAGAGAAAAAATATTCCGAACATTATTGTGTGCCTCTGTCTACAGCGACTTCAAAATTTTATGGCAGTTTAAATTCTGCTTCCGAATTCAATCTGAGCTAAGAAAGCAGTGTCATATGTACCAAGTACACTGTATAAAGTACAATTAAATTCTTACTTGAATGGCTTCTCCATAGACTACAGACAATTAACAAGACAGTGCAACATTACAGTACAAAAAATACTAAGTAAGGCTGGGTGATGTGCAAAATTAATACTGACATCGCAAGTTATGCACATACAATTCTCACATTGCAGCTGAGTTGAGATCAGGCTTTTGGATACCTTAATACTGTACAAACATTCTGTGGCATAAAATATTTTCTTAAACAACGTTATTTTCCAATGCAGTTCTGGTATTTAGAAATCTTGGTGATAAACTTCGCCAGGAGTGAAGGGTTTAAATTCCACTAGAACATTTATATTTATGTTCTGTTATAGGAAAAAAAACTTCAAGATAATCCTGGTATATGTTTAAAATTAAAGTTTAAAGACAGCTACTTTTGCATGAGCTCTGCATGCACTTTTTTATTCTTGCTGTTTAAATCAGTCATAGACATGTTTGTGAGAAATTGCTTGATTTTGAACTCCTTTTTACTTTATGAATATTGAATATTCATTGTAAAAAACTGGAATTTTTCCCTATATCATGCAGCCGTAATATTAAGTACAAAATATTAACTTCTACAAGACATCTAACAACATATAATGCAACATTCAACATGGGATTGTAAAGTGATACGTGATACAGCAAAGTACCAATATGAAGTGGAGCAGTGGATAGAATATAGAGAATGCTTGCAGCAGTATTACAGAGTCAGCAGAGTCGCTGTGGAGGCACCAAATATACTACATTTCATGCCACAACCTCCTACAAAAAAGACTGGAATGAAGGAGCTGGTCAAGATGGTTTTCTTGCACTGCCCCTGGTGGACATAACTTTTAATCCTTCAGATTTATATAACCTATGCGTGCTAGCATGAGCAGCACTGCAACAGCACGCCTAACCACACACGTTGCAAGCGTGGAGGATAAACCGGCCCATAGATATGGGAGGTATTTTCTGCAAAAAATAAAATTAAAACGAAAATGATAAAAAGAAAATACAATCTCCACTTTGCCATTTACTTTCCAATGTATGTGCGCAAAAATCCTGCAAAAATTTAAATTATGATGAAATAGCACCATTTGCATTTTAATTTTCCAGTCATGCATGTAAGTCATTTGTGAAAAAATAAAATGAAAAACCCTTTTTGTCTTTTCATTTTCCAATTTGACTTTTCATTTTATACTTTGGCTTTTCGTTTTCAAGTTCGCTACATGGAAATATATGTTAATCGGAGCAGGGCAGTGGGCGGAGCAACTGATCACTGCTGCTTCTCAGTGCGTTTGCCGATTCCTTTCTTCTTGTGTTTCTTGCCCATGTCGCCCAAACTAATGGCAAAGTCACAAGATGCTTAAGTTGGCTACTTATCTGCAGCTTCTGATTCATTTAGCTTCTTATTCATAGTCTTATTTCGGGGCTTAAGTTGGAAATACAAAATAACGTATGAATAAAAGGTTTGAGAACGTATATTTATTTAGTAGAAGAAAGTCTTCCTGTATTGAAAATGGTGGAATTACCTGGGCATAATGTGATCTTTCATTTGTAACAGTAAACTGGTCGCATGACACTTTGATCAATTGTTCACACTTATTTAAATAAGAAGCCATATTTCCAAATGGAATGCGGAGGTCTTATTCATCTTGGGTAAGGTAAATATGAAATGAATAGTAAACAGCAGGCATGCCACTCTAATAACACTGAAATTAGCCTAGGCCAGATAGCTACCTAGCTGAAAACATGGCAGTCTGACCCAGGCTAATTTCAGTGTTTCCTTACAATGGTATACCTGCCATTATATCGCCTATAAGGAAGCTGGAAGGAACTTAAGCCGTGAAATAAGACGCTACGAATAAGAGGCTAAATGAATCGGAAGCTGTAGATAAGTAGCCAACTTAAGCATCGTGTGACTTTGCCATTAGTTTGGGCAACACGGGCGACATGGGAAAGAAACACAAGAAGAAAGAAATCTTGAAAATGAAAAGCCAAAGTAGAAAATGAAAAGTCAAATTGGAAAATGAAAAGACAAAAAGGATTTTTTATTTTATTTTTCAATTTTTCACATCTGACTCATACATGAGTGGAAAATTAAAATGCAAATAGTGCTATTTCATTTTAATTTTTGCAGGATTTTTACACACAGACTTTGGAAAGTAAATGGCAAAGTGGAGATTGTATTTTCTTTTTATCATTTTCATTTTAATTTAATTTTTTGCATAAAATACATCCCATACATAGACAGATTACACACAACAACAACAAATTAATTTTTGTATAGCGCATTATCACACACAGATTCTTAGCTGATAATCTTTTTCACTGACCTGTTTGAAGAGCAGCTCCTGCTCCTGTTGCTCCTCCCCCTGGAAGTGGGCCTCCTCCTCTTCCGCCTCCTCCAGGGGCTCCTGTTTGATGGCAACACTGCGGGTCGGTGCCTCAGTGCTGGGTCCGGCCTGGTGCTCTAGCAGCTGCTCCTCCGTCTCCTCTGGGTGGCTCTGGTGCTGCCGGCTGGGATCACCAGCTTTGCCTGGCATCTAGAGGAAATTAAGTTGCTTTGTGAACTGCTGCTTGCTTTAATTACACAATTAATTAATTAGTCAGCTGTTTATCAGCTCAGGGCAGGTCTTTAAGGGGACTTTTAATAATGGGCCACCAGGAGGCAGCAATGAGAATGCAGACAGATGCACCTGGAGCTCTTGGCTTCTGAGCCAATGAGATGGCAGATCACAACCGGAGGAAATCTCCAGAGCAACCCGGATGTGTATAGGGTCAGAGCCTCATGGTAAACATGTGACATTTTAGCAGTGCTGACAAGATGTAATTAGAAAAAACCTTCAGGGATATAAAGTTTATTAAAAACTAAAAACATGACTGAGGATGACAGAAGCAAAGTGATTTATCCACAGAAAGTGGAGAGGTTTCCTAAGGGCTTTTGGGAGTAGTGAAAAATAAGTGGCTTCCCGCCAAATTCCTCTCCGGGCAGGAGGAACTGCATCGTCACCATCGCCTTGTGGCTCCAAACTCCTATTTTCCCTCCCTTTGTGCCCCCAGCCTCCCACTTTCTCTTCCCTTGTGTCTTTGCTTTCCTGCTTTCCTCCTTCTTGTATCCCCACACTCCTGCGTTCCCTCCCCTTGTAGTCCCACCCCCATCCCACCTTGCCAATGTGCAGTTGCTGCTGCTGCTTGTGCTTCTCCAGGAAGTGCTGGTGCTGCTGTTGCACCACCAGCTGCTGCAGGGCCTGGGCGCTCTGGGGCAGGGGGGCCGACTGCGTGCGGCCCAAGGGGCGGTGTTGCTGCAGCTTGTGGAGGGGGAGGGTACACAGGCCTGAAACACAGAGGGATGAGGGGAAGGGCATGTCACTATGCATGAAGATCCACTCTGACCATGTTATTAACCATGTGCACTGTACAAACTGGTCAGCAGGTAGCGTAGCACCCTTTGTAAGCAGGGGAAAGTGTCATAATGCATAATCTAACTCAAAGCAGGCAGCACACAAACACAGTCAGCCTGGGATCCACCCACCTGGAAGCACGGGGCTTGGTGCCCCGGATGGCCCCAGCAGGACCATGTGTTGCAGCAGGGGGTTGTGGGCAGGGCCACCGTTTTGCTCCAGAACCGAGGCTCCCAGGTAGGACGTCAGGTGAGCTCCCACGAGGAAGGGAGAGGCCACGGCCTGCAGGAGTGCGGCATGTCACCATTTAAATGAGCACTACATCCTGCTTGCAGCACGCAACCTAAGCGAGCAGCATAGCCGGCAGGCAAATTGTCTGGCATGTGAACAGGTAACATGGCAAATCACCATGGTAATAATGTCTGTAAACAGGTAACACAGTGAGCTCTGTAAATCACCATGGCTATAATGCAAAGCGCTGTGGGTTAGAGAGCAGGCTAAACACCCTGGATGGAAATGTAATGGAAATGAGATGATGTGACTGTGTGTGTATCTGTATCTGTGTCTATATTTGTGTGTCCCTTTGTATTTGTGTGCACGTGCAGGAGTGGTCCTCACACTAGAAGGGGCACTGGCTGGCAGCCCCAGGGTGATGTTAGGCAGCGAGGGGGACGTGTACAGGGACAGCTGGCTCATGGGGGTGTCACAGCTTGCCAGCCTATGGGCCAAAGAGGGCTGGGACAGGGGGAACATAGCTCAGTCAGAACCCCAATAACACACACAGGCAGGCAGCTGTCAAATGATGAAGATGGTGGGGGAGGTTACCTCCAGGGGGGTGACAGATAGTGCTGCTCCGTTCTCGGTGCTGTTGTTTGGGGAACTGGGCCCAGAGCCGGGGGCACTATTACACGAGTCTGAGGAGCAGAACCAAACTGTCAGGACAGTGCGGGACATTATGCATGCCCAATGGCGACTCTCAGGCCACCTGGCTCTAGTGCCGGAGGGCCGGCATGAACTCAGCACACGCATACCTGCGGAATCCAGCGGTCGCTTGTTAACACTGCCCAGAGGCCCATCTCTCCGGCGCCGCAGCAGTGGGCTGCTCCGCCTCTCCACCACCTTCTGCTTTAGCCGGGAGCGCAGCTTCAGGTTGGGTTCCGAGGCTGAGGGCATAGGCCGGGAGCACGGTCAGTCATATGTGGCAGCCAATGATGTGCTAAGCTGGATCTTGAGGACTGTCTCTCAGGAACTAAATCCACCTTCCTGGTCATTGACATTTTAATACAGTGAATGTTTCCTAACTTCCGCCATGATAAAATTTAATTTAAAAAGATGCCCTAGCCTTCTTGATCTCTGACACTGGCACGTTTAACTCCTGCCCATGGTTCCGCACATTTCAAAAATTCAAACTGGGCCAGTGCATGTGGAATGTGATCTTGGCTCGAAGGAGTGGACTCATCACTGTCACGTGTGTAGCAGACTCTGTGATTGTGTTTGCTTAATTTCACGGCTGATGTTACGTTTCTGAATGTTTGCAGGGAATCTTGCACTCTCTGCCATGCCAGACATTCCAGCATGTGCCATTGCTTTATTCGCCTGGACCACGACGCTTGTCCTGATCACTGTCACGAGCGATGCTATGAACACCCAGCGGCATGATCACAGAACGACAGTGGCCAAGGACAGCGCTGGTCACAGCATCCAGTCTGCAGAGCCATTGTCCAGACTGCCATGTCTGAATGAGGGGCCCCATTGTGAATCCTCAAGGCGATTTACATAAGTAAACAATATACATGCGTCAGAAGAAGTGTATTTATTAAAGAGATCACCCAGCGTGTGAGCAGCATGTTTGTAGATCATACTGCTCATACTGCACATCCATGCTACATGGAGCACACGCATAAGGGTGTGTTTGTGGATCAGTGGGTTAGTACGCTTTGCCTGTGATCAGAAGGTTGCTGGGTCCCAGGGTCAGCAGAGTAATTTGCCCATAGAGCCTCTGAGCAAGGCCCTTAATCCCCAGAAGTTCCAGGGACTGTTTGACCCTGCTTTCTTTTTTTTTTTTTTTTATTTTTTTTTTTAGTAAAAGCATCTGATAAATAGATTAAATGTAAATATTATCTCTGGCCATCATTCACCTGTTACTTTAAGCAACTGTAATCCTGTCTACTGCTGCAGTTAAATTTACCAGAATTAACCTAACACCACTAACCATAACCCTATCTAACGGCAGTCTGATCTCAAGCTAACCAAACCATTGCAGTTATTTCTTGAAATTCTCCATTTGACTATTCAGCCCACTAACTCCCTCTTCATGGGGCCCAATCAGACAAGCCATCTCAGAAGACCCATCCTCAGCATGTCCAAATCACCCCTCCAGGTCCATACCTGTTTTCCGCAGTGGGAAGTCATCCTTCGGGTTGTATAGCCCAAAGACCGGGTGACCATAGCCGGCTGTCAAATTTGTCTGAGGGGGTGGGCTTTGGTCCAGAGAGCTGTGCTGGGTCTTTCTACAGTGAGACAGAGACAAGGCATTACCTGATTGGTTGGATAAGAGCAGAAAGTCACCTATTAGGCTGGATGAGAAAACAGAGATGCCTCATAGGCTGGATGGGGGAAAGGGCATCTTGGGAGATACCTGGGCCCTTCTTCCATAACACACTTGCAGGTCCTGCCTCCTGATGGTCCCCAGCCTTACAAGGGTGACTGCACTTCCATCAGAGCCCGCATGACGCCTGCAGCTAAACACCTTCAATGTGTGTGTGTGCATGTGTATGTGTGTGAGTGAAAGACCGTGGTGAAAAAAAGTCAGCTAAGCCCAAATTGTAACCACAGTTAACCTAAAGGATGTAAGGTCACATGGGTGTTCACTGTGTCTCTCTCCACACTGGGACATGAATTAATCGCAGTGTGACCACCATGTGATCACACACACTCACGTGTACCACAGACGCGGGTCCCCAGATATGCAGTGGCTGAGTGTCCTCTGGGCCAAGGCCTTCTTCTTATTCAGCACGAACTCTTGCAGCTTCATCTTCACCTCTGTGCTGGCGATGGCACCTGGGTTCGGGGACACCAGGCTCAGGTGAAGCAGGCTGCCCCCATGTTCACCATTCCCCACCCTCACCACATCTCCACCCCACACTCATTAACCCTAACCCTGTCCTCACATTCACCATGCCCCACCCTCACTACACCCCCTCACTCAATAACCCTAGCCTCACCCCCATATCACAAAGCCCCGTCCCTCACATAATCCCCATACTGACTCTCCTGGCTGCGCTCCTTGTTCTTCAACTGCTGCAGCTTCTGATCCCTCTGCTCCCTCTCCAGCTCCTCCTCCTGTTGCCGCTGATGATCCGCCTTTCGTTGCAGCTCCACGAGCTCCTGCTGATGCCTCAGGGCCAGGAGCTCCTGCTGCTGCTGGGTGGGGGGGAGCAGAGATGCGGTCACACAGCCATACACTCTGGTATTCATGGGATATCAGGCAGCTAGTCACTTTATTAAAAGACTCCCTGGTCATGATGTAAGATGCGGGCAAAAGGGATGGATAGCTGGGATGCTCAGACTCGCTGCTACCTGAAGGGAACCACACCAGACATTACTGAGGCGTTATAGGGGTCCACTGTACTGCCCCAAGCCAGCTTTGTCCCCAGCAGTCTCGTCAGAACCCGAACTGCACAGTAAGATCAGCTGGCCAGGGCTTTCCGAGTCAGCATGTGGACGTGGGGAATGTAAACAGAGCATTTCCCAGCAACTGGCCAGAACCAGGCTTTAATGGGGTTAATGAGTCTAATTTGGAAGTATGTTTGTATTTCTTTTCTCTCTAGCTTGGATAGCTTGGAAAATCCATGCTGGCGTGAGAAAAGGTCCACTCAGCAGTGCAAACACTGAGGTCAGAAAATTGAGAGGGGAGTGGCTATCAAGCCCTGCTGGGGGGTGGGCGGGGTGTAAAATCCAAATGAAAAATATCTGTGTGTACATCTCTGTTCTGTGCAGAAAGGGGTGGGGCCAGGGGCAGAGCTTTATGAGAGAGGCGGAGCTTTGGCAGAGTACATTGTGAGCTGCGGGGTGATGTGGGAGGGGGCTGGGCACAGTGAGGTGGGCGGGGCCTGGGCACAGTTGGGCAGGCTCACCTTTATATGCTCTTGCAGCTGTGCCTCGTGCTGACGAGACAGCTGCTCATGCTGCCTCTGGAACTCGGCAATGAGCAGGCGGCGCTGCACCTCCTGCTTCTGCTTCAGGGCTTGCAGCTCCTGCTGCAGCCTCCGCTGGTCACATTGCCCAGGGCTGGCCGGGGCCAAGCCTGGGCTCACTCCTTGGCTCGTGGCCTCGCTCATGGCCTGGCTCAGAGGCTGGTCCACGTGCAGGTCCATGGTGGCTCCCCACAAAGCCAAAGCCGAGCTTGCATCCACTGGAGAGCGGAAGAGAGGAGGGGGTTATTTATGAATTAATTGCTAGTCCACAGAGAAGAACAACTTATGCATTACAGCCATGCTAGAGTGAGTTGCTAAATCAGAGACTTTGAGGTCCACAGGTAAATACTACTTGGAGAAAAAGGCCTGTACAGCTGGTCTGCACCCAGCAGGAAACGCCCAGGCTTGAGGCCCTCCACTGGCCTCAGTTCACACTCTTAGGTCATATACTGCTCTTCTAGACTTTTCCACAGCATGAGGCGACCTGGTGACGTTTGCATGTGGCACAAACAAAGGATCAGACCCTCAAGGACAGGGAGCGCTATACTGGGCACTGACAGCAAACTTTGCACAAACAGCCCAGCCCTCAGTGAGTGAGGTTCTACAACACTGACATCACATTTCTCTGACTGACTGTGTGTTTGCTACCTAGCCTGATTACAGGCTGTGAGGCATCACTGGTACAATAACTGGAAAGTAGGAGGATCCATGAACGAGAATGTGATGTGGAGCCCCACAGGAGAAGCCGGTCGTGGTGGGACTGACAGCAGGGACAGCGACAGCCATGGGGGACTGCGCCCAACACGGTATACAGTGCCCCTCACACATAGGAGTGATCTACACACTGAACGTCTGCCATGAAAACATTCTCATGGTGTGGGTGTGAGGCAGGCACAGGGAAGCAGCACTGACCCGGAATGAACTGCGCGGGACAGAAGCTTCCTGATATGCTCTCTTATGACAGCTGACAGAAATGTGTTTTTCATCCGGCACCAATAATCCAATCTACTCACGCTGGGCATTGGGACCCAGCCCATAAAGGGGCCATTGAAGTGGGCCAGAGGGAAAGGGTGCTCTCATCACCTCCTGAGTCCCACTGGACAGGAAATGCGCCAAAATTAACAGCCAGCCCTCCCCTAGCCTGTGTCACTTAAACAAATAGCCAGGATATGGAGTTATTTATTTATGAGGTTACCAACCGCAGCAGAAGGCCAGGCATGTTAGTGAAGGGCTGAATTTCAGCTCCTCGTGCCACACACAGACAAAGCATGCTGGTGTATCTGCTTGAACAACTCATTTAAATACATTGTGCGGAAAAGCCACACCCCTTAATTTAAATACATTATGCAGCAAAACCACACCCCCATATTTAAATACAACACATAAAGCCTCGCCCCGTGCAGCAAAGCCACACTATGGCATGCAAACAAAATGTGCAGCAAAGCTACGCCCCCACATTTAAATATATTGTACAGCAAAGCCAATTATACTGTTCTGCAAATCCATGCCACCACATTTAAATACACTATGCAACACAGCTAAGCCCCTTCATTTAATTAGATTGCACAGCTAAGCCACACCCCTACATTTAAATATACCATAAACAAGACCACACCCCATATTCTAAAGTAAAACCACACCCTTTATTTTTAATCCAGGCTTGTGTCTGTGATTATGGGATAAAATGGCATCTGTCACTGGATGGCTGCACACACAGTAACACCATGGGTACCAACCAGAGGGTCTGCTACGCCCCAGCAACCCCAGCATAACAGGGACTGCTTCTTACAGGGGAGAGTCCCATTGCCCTGTGAAGATGGAAGGTACCTCCCTACCCCAGAGCACACAGCAACAGACCACCAGGAGTAAACAAAAACACTAATTAAAGGAAGTAACTGCCCACTAGCAATTGTGTGCCAGTACTGACTGTGGTGGGTGCACAGAGACACAGACACACACTGACACAACAACAAACTCACACTGGGACAGACAGATACCTGCTCTGTCATTGTGAATTGGACCTTGTTATGGAACTTTTTCACTGGCATACAGGAACTGACCCGTACCCAAGTCACACCGCGAAGAGAGACTTTGGTTTTCCACTGCAGAAGGCTCAGCTTGGTAAAGACATTGTCAGGTTTGGAGAGCAACAGTGACATAAAACCTAAGAGAGTGTTCACATGGTGTACGTCATGGTTTACTATATGCAATTTCTATTTATTTATTTTTTACTCAGTGCTAATTTTTGCTAGCACATCTGTAAGAATGGCTGCGTTGTGCAAGCATCAAATGCTACCGGAATTAGCATTCGCTTGTGTAAATTTGCATTACAAGGCCATTCCGTCCAGCTGTTCAATAGTACTTTAAGTATGAGGTTAAAAATTTTCATGTTCCGAATTATCAGGAATGCATTAATACATTGTGATTTGCGACACCACTAATAATTAGTAATATATAGAATATGCCATTTTTTCTTTCAGCTAATCCATGCATATCAAAGCAGATCACTGGTATCGCTGTGGTGGTGATGCAACAAACTTGGTTTGATCACACTTTCAAGCAAGGCTGTGTCAGCATTGGTACGAGTCGGGTATGGATCACATACTTTCCAATGGAAAACCGCCAGTTCGCGGTACGGGTCGGGTATGGCTCGGTTACTGGTAACTGGAAAAGTGCCTTTAGTGTATGCAGCTACCAGTGTGTGACTGTGTCTGTCTGTATCTGTGTATCTGAGTGTGGCTGCCTGTATCAGTTTGTCTGTGTGTCTGTCCGTATCTGTTTGGGGTGTCAGGTCCTCAACCAGCACAAAGAGCATCTGCAGGCAGGGTGTCTGGCACACACACACGCACACACTAACCAAGGTAAATACCAGACTTTTGGCATTTGTAATTTTTTGATCACAATCACAGATATTTGTGGGGACCTGAAAAATGGTCCCCACATCATCAAAATAACAGGTTTTTAATCACATTGTGGGGGACATTTGGTCCCCACAATGTAATATAAACCTAATCCAGACACATACAAACACACAAACACACAGACACACACAATTGCACACATACAGAATCTCTCACACAGACACACAAAACCACACACTGTGCACAGCTCCGGGTCCCGATCGGATGGAAACATTATGTACTTCCATGCCAACAATGTGGTCAGTGACAGCCGGTGCTGTAATGTATTTAGAGACCCTCCCACCCCATCCACCATGGTGACCGGGTGGTGCATCTCCATGACGATTGTGAACACACCTTCCATGTGCCAAAACACTGTCCTGATGACTGCAGCTCCCCGTCATCTGAATAAGCATGCTCAGTTTCTCAAAGAGGCTGCCCCCAGTGTCGACATAAAGCACGCAGAAAGCAGGAACCCTGCAGCACATGCATGACCAACCGCATTGTCACTGATCACGTGATTGACCACTGATCATATGACCAACCATGAGCAGCAAGCATTGCACCCCCCCGACACAGCCAACAGAGTGATGTCATCCTGTGTGTAGAGGCCCTGCCCCCCTCTGAATGGTGACTGAGTCATTCATTCAGAGAACGGCATGCTAAAGCGCTTATGGGCTAGCGACTGGCCACCACCTCCGCGTGAAGCAAGGAAGCTGTGCTCTGGAGTGGGGGCTGTTCTGTCCCAAGAAAAGGGTGGTTATTATGGGCTGCCAAGGAGTCAGACAAGACACATGGTAGCCAGGGGACCACAGAATCCCGATACCCTGGATACCTGCCAGGCACTGGGGCAGGGTGTGGGTGTGCACACAGACACACACACCCACAACCACACACAGATACACGCACACTAGTACACACAGACACACACACCCACAACCACACACAGATACACGCACACTAGTACACACAGACACACACACCCACAACTAAACCCGTGTCCTAAGCCTCAGCCAGGCTGGGACAGCACACACCCCTACAGAGCAGATCCGCACACACAGACACACACACACACACACACACACACACCCTGTCCTCAGCAGCGTTGGCCACTTAAACATTCACACAACGTGGCTCAGTCACTCTCAGTGCCATTCATGAAAGCAGTCGGTTCACGCACAGCCATATCCGGGCCAGAACAAACAGAGAGGAGCACAGGGAGTCCTACCCATGCATGCGGTGCTCCGCCGGGCCAGGGGCCGGGGGCTGTGTCAAGTTCCCGCACGCTGCTGCTAGGTCTGCACCGCGCTGCTCTCTCTCTCTCACGCCGCCGCTCGTATGCAATCCTGTATCCCTCACACAGAGTACCCCTCTGCTCCTCCCTCTGCTGACGTCAGAGGCCACCTCAGGCATGTGGGGGGGGGGGGGGGGGTTCTCTCTCTCTCTTTCTATGACACTCACTTCATACTCTCTCCCTCTACATCACACTGACTGTTCTCTCTCTATATTACATTCACTCCATCCTCTCTCCCTCTCTATGTCATTCATTCATCCCTCTCTCCCTCTCCGTCACAATCACTCCATCCTCTCTATGTCATTCATTCAGCCCTCTCTCCCTCTCCATCACAATCACTCCATCCTCTCTCCCTCTCTATGTCATTCATTCAGCCCTCTCTCCCTCTCCATCACAATCACTCTATCTTCCCTCCCTCTTCTCGGTTGCTTCTCGCTTCTCGGCCTATTGCCTAAGATCAAGCGTAGTATCTGTTCTTATCAGTTTGGGTGGGCAGTGGTGGCTTGATGGGAAGCGCACTTGTAATTGAAAGATTGCTGGTTCGAATTCCCGACCAACAAGGTACCATGAGCAAGGTACCGCCCCCAAGCACTACTCTCTGGGCGTGGATTAGCTGCCCCCTGCTATGTCACAAAAGTCACATATGGGTCAAATGCAGAAAACACATTTTGTCGTTGCGCACTGTGTGCTGTGGTGTGTTAACAATGACCACTGATAACCAAATTCTAATTCTTCACTCCATCCTCTCTCCCTTTCTAGATCACACTCTATCCTCTCTCCATGACTATCATACTTTGTCCTCTCTATCACATTCACCCCATCCTCTCTTCCACTCTATATCACTTATTCCATCCTCTCTCCCTTGCTATCACACCCACTCCTCCTCACACCTCCTCTCTCGCTATCACTTACTCCATCCTCTTTCCCTCATTATCACACTCACTGTCCTCTTTCTCTCTATATCACTCACTCCATCCTCTCTCCTACATTATCACTATGATTCTATTCTCTCTGTATCACAAAC